CATTGTAGTACACACGTTTAACGCCTACAATGTCGTTTGGAATCGGTTTATCTACGGCTTGGGGGTGGAAATCGAGAATTAAATAGATATGGGGATCGCGATTAATCTTATCATACATTTTATTTCGATACGTCAAACCCCTCTGACATATGTCCTATACTTACACACTGTATCGGATGTCAGGATTTTGTCGTATAAAATAAACATACGGAAGGGTACGCATACTCCATGGTACAAACATACGCACGCCTACATATTTATTCAAACAATATTCGATCGATATGACGTTAAACCGAGTAAAGTTATATAGAGGCTTCGTTGGCGTTATTCAACGTGATGGAGACAAAAATTTTTTGATCGCTTGAAAAAAATTGCAAATCATGAAAAAGTGATGAAAAAAAAAAATGTATTACTTTTATGAAACAAATATTTTTCTCTCCAGGTATGTAATTAAGGAGCGTTCTACCCTTTTGAACATTTCTATTCCGACTTTCGTTTTACAACTGTCATTTTTGTTTAGGATCTTTTAAAAGGAACCTCTTATCGTTTGAAATCTTGAAAAAGCCCGCGTAAACACCACTAAATTCATTTTCAGCTTCGTGTAAACTGGAGCCTCGGCAAATAATGACGCAAGTAACTTCCAGCACACCAGCCTCTCTCCTCGTCCCTTTGCCACCCTTTGCACAGTCCGTTCCACCCTTCCTAGTTTTTTTTTTTATTATCTATGTAGTCGAACCAGAGAGGGTTTCGCAGCGTTACAAACTTTTTCGTTTATTTTTTTTTCGTGATCCAACAACGTTGAATCACGAAAAAAATAACTGTTATAAGCATATACCGCGATGCTATATACGCTCTAGATATTTTTATATCTATAGGAACGCGTGCGGCAATATCCTCACGTTGGCAAGCTAAGAGAAAATCAATGGAAAGATAAAACTTTACGAAATGCTATTTCCTCGAGAGACTACTGTCCTTTCTCTGTACTCTGATAGACGTCTGTCAATACCATCTAGAGAGTTAAGATCCCGTTGACGTCTGCATATGCATATCCTGTATATCAGAAGGGATGACAGTAGAGAGCCGTACAGTCCTCACCCAGAGTACAGAATTCTGCAAAGAGGTTTAAAAATAAATTCAACAGAAATACTCAAAAAGTACGAAGGCCGCAAAAAAAAAATGTGTAAAATATCCCTTGAAATTTTTTTTTTTCGAAACAGGATATACATAAATGACTTATAATAAAAATCTAACGATACAACCGGCGTCGTAGTACTATGGTATATGTAATTCCGGAAGCTGAGCCAACGCACTGAACCGGTCGATCCGGAAGTTCGTAATCCTCGGTCATTTGGAAATCTCGGTAAGCGGAAAAGCGGAAAACTGTAATCCCATGACGAAATTATGTGGGGAAGCACGAGAGCGGAATCCTTGATACAAGGCGTGATGCTTTCCGCCAACTCAACTTGGCACTCAGCTTGTTGTACCTGAAACAGTATACCGATATAGTATAGATTAGGTAATAATAGGGGCACTAGATCCTGTCCTCAGAATCAAAATAAAAGGGACAAGGTGGGAGGAGCGCTATGTTCGGTTTCTGGTTATGACGGATATTCAATGTCCTAGATAGCTGTTTAAACGTTATCGAGTCGCGGGGGATTTGCCATTGATAAATCAAACACTATGCAGAAACATAGTGGGGGATGAAGTTGGCTGCAAGCATGGCTGACAGTGGTTCTCATTCTTATTCTCTCTGTTCTACGTCTGTGTTCAATCCCTCTCTCTCTCTCTCTCTCTCTCTCTCTCTCTATCGTGTTAGCGACTAAAGCAGACTCCGTTGCAACGACCGCAACAAGTCGTAGCAACGGAATGACTTCTACGTTAGGGGGTTGATAGTACACCGGTTTCGTGTTCTGAGAGTGCTTTTGGGGTTTGTGTAGGCCGATTACCGATCGGCACGTTCGCTTCTCTGTTCTGTTTTCTCTGGTCTATGTTATAATCCGATTTTCCATATTTTTCGTCATTTCTTCTACCGTGTAAGCTGATTTGTTTGGGGATTTCGGTACCCTGGAGTTTTCATGTACAAAATATATATAAATTAACGTTACCGTACGATTTTCGGTATTTCACAAATTTTTATGGATTTTATTATCCTGCGTCTTTCTTGCCAAATGGAGATTTGGTTGGGACATTTAAACGAGTGTCGAATTTTTTAGCGACTCCACTTGGTCGAAGGTTTCTTGGGGTTGAATAGTAGGGGGGTTGAATTCGTTGAGTCTCGAGCGTCAAAGGGTCGATCATTCTCGGGTGGAATGAAAGCGTTTTTACGGTCGCCTCTTTTCAGGGTTCTTAAAGATAATAAAGAGCCGGCATCGTTACCGGGTGAACGTAAATGACTTTAAGAAATTCTCATCGCGTCGTTAAGTATGCTGTTTCCGCGCGACATTGGAATAAAGAGGTTAGGGGTGAGTATATGAATGTTGGAAATTGCTGTTTGATTGTGTGGCTGGTTGTACTGTAGGGTTTCTCTCTTTCTACAGAGAGACAGAAGAGACGGGAGAGATTCAAGAGGAAAATAGAAGTGGGAAGAAAGGCAGACAGATCAATTAATTAACCAAGAGGCAGATGGCAGATGGCGCATGCCGTTGGGCTAAAAGGGAGAATATTGCGCGTGTGTGTGTGTGTGTGTGTGTGGGGGGGGAGAGAGAGAGAGAGAGAGAGAGAGAGAGAGATTGGGGGGGGGACAGAGAATTCATTTCTCTCCCTTCTTTTACATTCTAGACCCTCATACACACATGGGGGGGGAGAGAGAGAGAGAGAGAGAGA